CAAAAGATGCAATAACTGTGGAGCAGTGTCACACACAACACAACATTGCCCAGATAGAGTAAAAGGAAGAAGGTGTTTTAAGTGCAATGAGTGTGGTCACTTTGCCACAACATGTCAAAATAATGCAAATTTTGGGCGGCCTATGAGCCAACAAAATCCAAAACAAGCGCGTGATCCATCATCACGAATTGATAGAGTGCAGCTCTTGGATTTCACATTAAAAATACAGATATTTGAGCAGTTGTCTCAAGCTCTTCTAGATACGGGTAGTGACATTAATATAATAACATAACGCGCAACAGAATGTTTGGGTGTCAAAAGATTGAATGGGTTTCGGCGACAACAATAAACTAACGAAAGGATCCATAAGACTCGATGTAATCGTAGACGCAGAGCACAATAACTTGAATTTCAATGTAGCGCCTGACACTTGGGTTAATACTGGGTTTTTGCGGTGTGCAACAGTTCTGATAGATAAAGGTGAAATTGTCACATATAAAAACAAAACCAGAGACAATGTTGAAATGGGCTTACGTATAAATTTAATACGTATTTCTGACGTACATTTTACAGATGATGAGAGAAGTGATACTAACTGAGAAATTGAACAAATCTAATACAATGGGTTTTACGAAATATAATAGCAGTAATACTGAATTAGAAGAAAAGCTGAGCAAATCGCCTGAAGTGCATACAGTAAATGATAAGAGAAGAGTTAATAACTTAAAAGAAAAGCTGAACACATCTACTGAGATGCCTTTAACAAAAGATAAGAAAAAGATAATTAAATTAAAAGAAATTTTCCGTAACTACCACGAAAAATATTCAACAAATTATAAGAGAAAATATGCTGACTTAAAAAATATGTGTAAATTCCACGAAATACATTTCACAAATGATCGGGTAAAATATTATAATTTAATGGATGAAACTGCTGTTAAAAGAAAAACTATTCTTTCATTTGATCATCGTTCTTCTTCAACTGCAAATAGTTTTAAAACGTATTGTATAGAGCAGAATATTCAGCAACGTCTGACAAAAACAGGTGGCCCCAAAGGAAATGGACAAGTAGAGCGTATGAATAAGATGGCGGTAAACTCCAGTAAGTCCAGAAGTATAAAAGGAACGCCGTTCGAGTTACTGAGAGGTTACGGAGAGGGTGCAGCTGAGTCGTCCGAGACAGACGACGAGTCGGATGGACGAGTGTGGATAAAGAAGTGCGATAGGGAAGATAAGGCAGTGAAACGAAAGCAAGATAAGCAGAAAAAAAAGAAGTAAGAGAGGAGAAGAAATAGAAAAGAAGTTTTTAAGAAGTTTGATAAGTTTTGATAAGTTTTATAAGTTTTGATAAGTTTGAATATTTAAAGTTAAAACACAAATTGTTAAATACTAAATTAAATTTTTCGATTAAAGGAGTTTTGTTTTATTTAATAAAAGTTTGAAGTTCCTTAAGAATATCAAGAAATATTGCGTTTTTTTTAATAACTACATATATATGTAGTTATTTTCTTTGAAAATAAAAATGCAATATTTTTCGACACTCTTTTATTTAATTTAACTTAATTTAATTCTTTTATTTAATTTAACTTAATTTAATTTAATTTAATTTATTTAACTTTTATTTAATCAAAAAAATACTTCTTTAATAATAACTTCTCAAAAACTTATCGACTTCTCCAAAAAACGCGTGTCTTCACCAAAAAAATCTCTTTTCTTCTGTCTTTTCTATTTTGTTTTTCGTTTTTGTTTTGATTGATTTAACTCTTTTGCTCAAGTTCGTTCGTTCGTTTTTCGTAATCATTACGATTTTTGCTGCCTTATCTGCACTCGTCCATCCTAATCGTCGTCTGTCTCGGACGACTCAGATTCACCCTCACCATAATCTCACCATGGTTTCATCCGTTCCGCGACCGTGGACGTTAAATTTGGTCCCTCATGCGAACCTACCTTCTTCACTTCATAACGATCGTTTTTCTTTTCTTTGGTGACTTCATAAGGGCCCAAGTACTTTGGAAAAATCTTAAGTCCAGCTCCAAACTGCGTTCGAAGTATAGCAACTAGGTCTCCAACGTGATAACGAACGGCTTCCTTGCGTCTTTTGTCAAAATGTTTTTTGTTTTCTAGTTGAACCTTTAAAATTTCTTCTTTGGCTTGCTGGCGCAACTCATGTCGATATTCCTCGAAGTTGTTTAATATCTCTTCTTCAAAACATTGTCGAACGTTTTGACATTCGGTGTTGAACACAGAGACACCAAAAAGCAATTCAAACGGTGTCCTTTTTGTACTTCTGGACTTAGTGGAGTTTATCGCCATCTGTACACGACTAACATAAGTGTACCACCTTAAAGGATTTTCAAATGATAGTTTGGTTAGCAAATCTATTATTACCTTATTCACACGTTCTACTTGTCCATTTCCTCTGGGGACACCTGTTGTTATCAAATGATGCTGAACATTTCGCTCTATACAATACGTTTTAAAGCTATTCGCAGTGAAAGCAGCGCCTCTATCGGTTATAAACTGATGAGGGTTCCCGAACACCTCGCTTTGCTGTTGCAATTTTTTAAGAACTTCTTCTGTTGAACTGGATTTTACAGGGTATATCCATATAAACTTAGTGAAAGCGTCTATTACCACGAAAAGATATTTGTAATTTTTTGCAGTTGAAAGAAGTGGTCCTAAATGGTCTAGATATGTGTATAAAGGGACATCAGGTTTTTCAATAGGTGAAAGGAATCCCTCTCTTTTTCCGTGTTTTCTTGCTGAGAGAATGCAGTTAATGCAATTTGCTGTTACCGCTTCAACATGCTTCCTTAAGTTCGGGACGAAATATTCTTGCTCCACTACCGTTTTTACTTTTTCCGCACTCCAGTGTCCTTGTTCATGAATTTTCGTTATCAATTCTCTTCTCATTGTCTTAGGTATTACTAATAAATATGCTCCATCCACAAATTTATACAGTATCTCGTTTCGCATTTCAAAGTTCTGATATGGCCCGTTCTCCAAAATTTTGCGTGTCATTTGGCAGAATTCTCCAGATTTTGTGCTTTTTTAACAGCTAACACTATACCATCCTCTACCTGCAATACGACGGGATAACGACTCAATGCATCAACGTGTCGCATGCTGCTCCCTGATCGGTGGCTCACCTTGCAATAAAACTCTTCCAGTTGCATGGCCCAGTTTGCCACTCTACTATTTAAGGTTTTCTTAGCCATTGTCTGTTGGAAAGCTTTACAATCAGTAAAAATTTCAAAGGACATACCCAATAAGTAAATTCGTAGTTTTTTCAATGCTATTACAATTGCTAATACTTCCAAATCGTAGCTGGAATAATTTTTTTCTGCTGCTTTTGTTTTGTAACTAAGGTAAAATACGGGGTGGTAGTTTTTGTTACCATGTTCTTGTAATAATACCGCTCCGTAGCCTTCCTTACTCGCGTCGGTGTGAAGTTGGGTTGGAAGAGTAGGATTGAAAAGCTTTAAAACTGGATCACAGCATAAACTCTCCTTTAGTATGACAAACGCATTGTTTTGTATTTCACCCCACACGAACGATTTGTGTTTCTTTGTGAGATCTGTTAGTGGTTTAGCTACCAAAGCGTATCCTTTTATAAACTTACGAAAAAATCCTGTGAGTCCTAAAAAGCTCATAACTCCGTGCAAATTTTTAGGAGTTGGAAATTTTTTTACTGCTCTGATCTTCTCTTCTGAAGGCCGTATTTCACCGTGTTCTACTAAGTGCCCTAAAAATTCCACGCTTTTTCTTAAGAAGGCGCACTTTTCCCATTTTATTAATAGACCGTGATTTTCGGCTACGAATAACACTTCTTTAAGCTTCCTAACTCCATCTTCTTCATCATCAGCGGGGATGATCAAGTCATGCATATAAACCAAAACAATCTTCCTTTTTATTAAATTTTGAAATATCGTATTTATATATCTCTGAAATGCCGCAGGTGAATTACATAGACCAAAAGGTACTTTGCGGAACTCGTACTGTCCATCTGGTGTGACAAACGACGTATATTTCATACTCAATTCATCGACATCGACATGAAAGAAACCATTACATAAGTCTAATGTAGTAAATACAGTTGCGTTATATAATCCTTCCAGTATCTCTTCGATATTTGGCAGAGGGTATCTGTCACGAATTACCTTGGAGTTTAGCTTCCTATAGTCGACGCATAATCGGTAACTGCCATCCTTTTTCCGCGCTAACACTGGTGGGCTTGCGTAATTCGATGAGCTTTCTCGAATTATTCTATTTTCTAACCATTCCTGAATCTGAAACTGAACGAACTCCCTTTCTGTCTGTGCTAACCTTCGTGGCTTTTGAAAAATTGGTTTATCGTCTTCCAGTGTGATATGCATTTTTATATAGGACTCCTCTGGTTTTCTTGGTGAATATAGTTCTATAAGTTCTTTTACATCGCACATAGCAAAAATTTTTTATGTTTGAAAGATCTTCCGCATCGGTGACATCAGAAATACGTATTAAATTTATATGTGAGCCCGCTTCAACATCGTCTCTGGTCTTGTTTTTATATGTGACGATTTCACCTTTGTCTATTAGAACTGTTGCACATCGCAAAAATCCCTTACCTAAAATTACGTCAGTATTTACCCAAGAGTCAGGTACTACATCAAAATTCAAATTATAATGCTCTGAATCTACAATTACATCGAGTTTTACAGATCCTTTCGTTAGTTTGTTATTGTCACCAAACCCCACAACACTTGTACCTGGTCCATTGAATCCTTCGACACCCAAACATTCTGTTGCGCGTTGTGTTATTATATTAATATCACTACCAGTATCTACCAGAGCTTCGAATGGCTGCTCCAATATTTGAATTTTTAATGTAAAATCCGAGAGCTGAACTCTATCAATTCGTGATGCTGCATCACGTGCTTGATTTGGATTTTGTTGGCTTACAGGCCGTCTAAAATTTGTATTATTTGGACATATTGTGGCAATGTGATCAAATTCATTACACTTGAAACATCTTCTTCCTCTTCCCCTATCTGGGCAATGTTGTGTTGTGTGTGACACCGCTCCACTGTTATTGCATCTTTTATTGACCTGATTTCCACTATAATAATTGTCGTAATTATTTCGACCTTGGCATCTTTTTTCCTTCTCCTGATCGGCCTTAAACTTCTCATAAGCTTTGAGGTTAATTTTTAGCTGCTCAAGACTACAAGACTGATAGAGTGTGGCCTTGTTTAGTGAACTATCCGGTATGCCTGCTATAATGTACTCAATTAAGTGTGTTTCTTCCACTGTACCTCTAGAAGCAACTTTTTTCATTTTATAAAAATATTCCAAGAATGATTCGTTACTTAGCTTTTTCGTATTTTCCAATTTTTTGTGCAAGTTTTCCGATTCCTGGCAACCAAATTCAGTTCTGAGAGTTCGTTTTAATATCTCCCAACTGTTGACGCCAGTTTCTGCTTCTACGGCCAACTTTGCAGCCCCACGTAATAATCTTTTGCAATATAGGAATCTTTGAACTTGATTCCATTTACACACTACCGAAATGCTTTCGAAATCAAGCAACCAGTCCTCTATTTTTTTGTTTGACTCACCATCGAACAATTCTAACGATTCTTCGACCTCCTTAAAGTTTATATTATTTTGTACCGGTTCACTTGACATGTTTAACGTTTCACCGTCCGCCGCGTCGCTCTCGATCGTATTATTATTGTTCACATTCACTAATTTTTCTTCTGTATTGAGTGTTATTTCGTTATTTTTTAATTCAGATTTCCAATTTTTCTCTGAATTTTCCATGAATTTCTCTAACCGGTCAATTAAATTTACTTTTAAATTATACCAATGTGGTAAGCCGTATTTTCTTAAAAGTTCTTGCAATTGCTTAGTGGTTAATTCTGATAGCGATTCGCGCAAATTTTTCATTAGCGATTTTTTCAGTTTTTTTTTTCTTTTTGACCGCTTATTTATTTATTAATATATACACTTCAAGGTCGACTATTTTTTTTGTGCACTTCTGACACCATGTAGTTATTTTCTTTGAAAATAAAAATGCAATATTTTTCGACACTCTTTTATTTAATTTAACTTAATTTAATTCTTTTATTTAATTTAACTTAATTTAATTTAATTTAATTTATTTA